TACCAGGAAATGGTTCCACTAATCAGGAGTCTCCCATTCTTGTCTATGGAGTCCTTATCTAATTTCATCCACTTAGAGGGAACCTGTCATGACTTACTCTATACTCCTGCACCTCATTGTCCTTACAGACGTGGGCATTTCTATAGCAACCACAGCGTGTGCCGTCTGGTTGCTATGCATGAATCCATGCAAAAGACTGATTGACAGCTAGGCGAATGATCTATTTTTAACTTTAAATACATTTCTGAAATGTGGTACTCTCTTTAAAAAGAGCCAACGTGGTTGTGGCCATGACAGGTTCCCTTTAAATCCTGGAATGTGCTTAATTTGGTCCCTAAAGAGTTAACTCTGCACAGAGACACTGACTGAGTCAGTATAAAGTCAGACAATAATATAGCGCGTGAGTATGCAAATAGGACAAAAGTCAGATTTACAGGATAATCCTTTAATGCCTTTTTTGAACGTTTGAATTCACAAAATTCAGTGAATTTTATGTAAATGTGTGTAATATATGCATACATGTTTATTAATAAATAAATCTTTAATTTGGGATGTTCATTTTTTTTCCTCACAACCATCTACAAAAAAAGCCACTCCCAAATGCCCAGGGCAAATGTCTTGTTAGCCTTGCAGCTAACAGTCCAGGCAGGCGGTCGGGCGGCACTTGCGAGAGAGCACTTTCCCCTGAGTGCTCTGCTCAGCTCCCTCGCGCGCCGCCTGCAGAGTGATGCTGGGAGCCGGAATATGATGTCATATTCCGGCTCCCAGCATCACTCTGCGGGCGGCGCGCAAGGGAGCTGAGCAGGAAGCTCAGGGGAAAGTGCTCCCTCGCCAGCGCCCGCCCAGCAGCCCACTAGAACACCCCCCAGCATTCCCAAATGTAAGGAGGCTGGGGGGTTAAACAAAAAAAAAAAGTGAGTGTGTTAATATGAGTGTGTGTCTGTGTGTGTCTGTTAGTGTGTGGGTGTCTGTTAGTGTGTGGGTGTGTCTGTTAGTGTGTGTGTGTGTCTGTTAATGAGTGTGTCTGTTAGTGTGTGTCTGTTAGTGTGTGTGTGTTTCTGTTAGCTAGTGTAAGCGTATCTGTCAGTGAATGTGTGTGTGTGTGTGTGTGTATTTAGAAGGCAGGGTGGGGGAGGAAGGGTTGGGTGGGGGTGGCGTGTGCGGGGTTGGGGTGCCTGAGTTTTGTCCTGCCTAGGGCAGCACAAAACCAGGATACACCACTGTTGCTAGTACAGACGGAATAACAGGTGGCCAGGCAATGCTCTGTAAACTAGATACAATTATCAAGAAGGTAGTTAGCCTGACAATGAAAGAATGATAGAAGTATACAACAAAATGCTTATAGGAAACAGAAAATAGTTCAGCCTTATAGTAAATACTCCATAACACTGATAGAGGGGGTGTGACGAACTGGACTTCGTCACGGGTTCTTGGAGGGACATACTTGCCAGCCTCTTGCCCTGTGACTATGCCCCTGTAAGGAACTTTGGGTTAAAGACGCTGATTGTGCTTCTTGGACTTATAACAGGCTCTGTTTACCGAACAGCCGCATGAACCATAGACCACCCTGGAACCTGTTAAGCTTAATTGATACATGGTTGCAATTTCCACCGCAGTGGTCTGTGTTCGTCTGGGTGGTCGCAATTCCTATGGATGACCACGAGGTGGTGGCCATCTTGTTCGCATGGACGAAAACCGTGAATAGACTTCAGGGGGACTTAGCTGCGAATGCCCTGGAACTATTTTCAGCATGAAAACTTTGCGGTTCCCAGTCGGTCCTCCAGCGGCACTTAGCCGCGATTCTATGGAACTATTTTCAAAAATATGACTTCTATAAAGATCTGGGGATCTTTGGATATGTTGATCACCCAGATCAGGGCTATCAGGGGATGTAACTTTTAAGGGGATTTTATGTGTTTTAAGGTATTTTGGGGGTTTTGTAAAAATGTGTGTTTTTTGTGTTTGGAGATAATTGAGTTTAGTATAGTGCTTGACTCAATGTTCTCCTAAGTAAAGGGGAAGAAGGCTTATTGTATTGTATGTGGGAGTGACATGCATTGTAACTCTGTTATTATTGGTTTGTAAGTTTGTGCCCCTGTCCCCAACAAGGTCCATGTGGGCGTACCCCTTGCATGAGGACGGTCTTAAAAGGCCAGTGTGGCTACCATTAAACCATTCCTGCTTAACCCTCAACATGTAGCCTTGTCTCGTGATTGTAGGGAACCGCTATACCACTATCTCTTGTAAGAGCTTCACAGCTATACTCTCTTGGAAGAGAGGCCTTCCCACTGAGTCCCTGGATCCAGGAGTTTGGTCAAGGGTGGGAAGAGACGGCGAGACCCCAACCAAGCTGCGGAGGTTCGGTCTAAGGTGCTTATGGTGTCCGGTGCAGTGCTTATGGTCCTCAGCGTCAGCTAGGAAGCATCGATTGGCGGAGGTACCCAGTCAGGGTGCCAGGTGGTCCATCACAGGGGGGATTTACTGATCTGTAAAGTGGCTGAGGATGTATCTTCTATGGGAACCATTAACTGATACTTAGCCACTGATTTCTGATTGATTTTAAACCTTGCTACTCATTAGGTGGAGATTGATTTCAGGCCAAACTGCAATTCAGTGGAATTTGGGCCAATCAGGTGATCGGCTGAATTCCCACACTTGAGCCAAAATGTTCCCGAATTATGAACTAGCTGTAATGGGCAATGCCAAACATGTTCGGTTCGGGGTTGTGACTATGAATCGATGGCTAGGAGGCAGTCACTAAATTGTGACTTTATTCACAGATCAAACAAACAATGGGAGTAAAAAGGAGGAGCTTTAAATATAAAGAATCTATATTTATATATTATATATTTAATAAATATCTACTATAAAAACATAGATTATTTTTTATTGCACGTTCTGCTATTTCCTCTATTTATTTATTTTTATCAAATGGCAGGAAAATGCTCTTATCAGTATACTTCAAAATAAATATATAAAATTATATTATGTATATATGTTGACCCATTTTTACACCTTTTTAATTTTTCATTTCTCAATTGGAATCTTGTACTGAAATTCTACCGCACCTAACCGACATATGGTTAAAATTCGGGTTCCCTCCCAAATTCCTATTTTTGATTAACATGGTTCGCTTGAACCACATATTCTCATTGTTTTACACACTGTTAGCTGATACTAACCCTAGAAATGTAACACCAGCTTCTGGCCTAGCGCAAATAAGTTAAAGGGACACTTTAGTCACCAGAACAACTACAGCTTATTGAATTTGTTCTGGTGAGTAGAATCATTCCCTTAAGGTTTTTTGCTGTAAACACTGTCTTTTCAGAGAAAATGCAGTGTTTACATTACAGCCTAGTGATAACTTCACTGGCCACTCCTCAGATGGCTATTAGAGCTGCTTCCTGGGGCAGTGCTGCACAATGTGACTGACTGTGTCTCCACCCTCTGCATGGAGATACTGAACTTTCCTCATAGAGATTTATTGATTCAATGTATCTCTATGAGGAGATGCTGATTGGCCAGGGCTGTGTTTGACTTGTGCTGGCTCTGCCCCTGATCTGCCTCCTTGACAGACTCAGCCAATCATTGTGATTGATTCAGACCACCACCTCTGATGATGTCGGCAGACAGGGGCATAGCCAGCAGCTGCAGGCATGAATACAAGTAAGATTTTACTATACTTAGTGAGGTAAGGGGCTGCCAGGGGGGCTAGATTGTGGTTTTAACACTATAGGGTCAGGAATACATGTTTGTGTTCCTGACCCTATAGTGCTCCTTTAACAACAGCTGACTCCCTATGTATCCTATAGAGATAAAGAGATAATACGCCAACTCTATGGCTATTATATGGAATCCCTAAAGCAAACATCAAAACATATTAAACCATATCAAACTGTAATAATATTGAAGAAAAGGCCTGACACCAAAATAAAATGATTGTTTCTATAAGTATAGTGCATATATCATTTTAATGAACAAGTCACATAGCAGAAATTAACATCAAAGGAACCATAGACATGTATCAGGCCTCGCACACAATCACAGATTGATACATTGTATAGACTGCCGTTATCTGCTGCGAAGGCCAATCACGGGCTGAGGATTTTTTACTGGCAAGGGGTGGCTCACAATTTGCAGTCTGTATTTAACTAGTGAGGGGCTAAACTGATAATGGTCCTAGTGAGCAGACATTGGTGGTAGGGCGGCAAAAAATAGTGACAAGGTTAAAAAACCAGTCGGTAATTATCAGTCGCTGCTATCAGCCAGCAACAGCTATTTACCAAGTAGGAAATGAGTCCTTAATATGAAAACCCCTTATGAGAAATAATAAGAATGAGACTTGTGTGAGAGGTAAGTGTGATTCTAAAGTAACAAGAGGAAACGTAATAGATAACTGTTACTGAAGGCTCACGGTATGCACTCTGCAACTATGAGTGATGTAAACTGCACCAAGACCAGGGCACCAGAATGATCTTTATCCCACACAAAAAATCACTCGAAATGGCTGCTTTCCGGGAGACTGACCAGCAATCTCCAGGTCCAACCATTTAGACCTTGGGTACTTGGGGCCTGTTTGTAAGATCGCTAGCTATGAAAATCCAAACGTGCTAGTTTGGGAAAATTAAGTTCAGGGTTACCGCTTGTTTTGTAGTTTTACAAAGATCCAGTTTAATTAATTACTACGGCAAGTCTCGACTTGCCTTTTCCCTTCCTTATTCCCAGTCTTAAGTGATGTCTATAAATATAAAGTGTTAGTCCTCAGGGGCTATCAAGCTGGCAAAAGGAACGGAACCGCTTGTTAATGTCTGTGTAATTGGTTGATGAGGTGCTTAAAATACATGTTTTAATGTTTTATAGGCATGCTAAAAGTGGATATATCATATATAGGTTGTACATCATGAATCATTCACCGCACTATAAGAAAGAAAAATATGTATTGTTTCAAGTACTTCAAATTTCAGACACGTTGGCAGCACCCAATTTGGGTTGCAATCAATAGAAAAAGTAACAAATCTATTGGGTTTGGAAAGAACTAATGCATACAGCCAGCATCTCAACACGGGGAAAAAAGCCCTTCAACGCTGCCCGCGCTTTTTAAATCTTCGTTACCCGGACAACGTCCGCTGTCCAGATACCTGCTCGCTTGTGATTGGTGACATTTTTAAAGAGCCGGTGGAAGGAGAGAATGGATGTTGCAGCTGGTGGAATCAATTGATCAGTCAGGTTCATGAAGAGCTGCAAGGTGTATGGGGGGTGTGGGCCACCTAGCCCCATGGAATCTCTGCCCTATGGTTTGATGAATCGTGATACATTACCTGAGTTAGAAGACGACCTCGATTGGAAGATGACCTCGGTTAGAAGACGACCTCGATTACAAGACGATCTCGATTAGAAGACAACCTCGATTATAAGACAAGGTAATTTTTTCAGAATTTTTTTTCTGAAAAATACCTTGTCTTGTAATTGAGCAAATATAATATATATTATATATATATGAAACCAAAGATGGCTAGGGCTGCACTCACCTGGACATGCATACATTATAGGGTGGTGCTGAGGCCAATATATACAACATACAAAATACACAATCCAGCACACTCGCTTCTTCACTAAACAATGATTTCAAATCACCTGTGACTATATACACAGTATCTAAAGGTTGATGGCGTTAAATTGGGCATGACCTCACATTTTGTCACGGGTTCATTACATGGGTTAAATGGCAGAATCCAACAAGTCAGGGGCCAGAGTCAAATTCTGGAAAAGTAGGAGTCTAGCGCCACACCATCTTTAACTTCAATAAATTTTCATATTACTTATATAGGCTACCATTGTTCAGTAAAATTTCCCCAAACCAAAATTCAGGTGATTTCACTTCAAACAATAAAAGAAAATACTATTATAAAAAGTATTGATCCAGGAAAGGCACATTTAGATTTCCCATATTTTCAAAGTAGATTCTGACACCTAGATTATATTATTACCAAACGTGAGTAGCACTCCGGTCTCCATATCAACTTCATCTCAACAGCAGCAAAGAGGACCAGTCACTCACTAATGTAATGTCAAAATCCGAAGCTTGAAAAAGAGCGTTTATCGGTTCTTCTGCGCATATTGTGCATTTTATTAAAGGGTCTTTGAGGAATTAAGGATGTGATGGAGTATTGCTTTTTGGTTTACAGCAGGCAGATAAAAGCTGTTTGAACTACAACTCCCATTATCCTTTGGCAGGCGTTATCTAACCATAAGCTGGCAGAGGACTTTGGATGTTGTAGTTCATCGAGTACCATCTTCGAAGGAAGGAATAAGATCTGCTCCCATATTCAAGACACCCTTCCAGTCTAATTAAACAGTAAAATAATACTCTCTGCTAAGAGACCGCTCATATTCCCATAGCTTCTGATCACAATAAAAAAATAAGATACTAATTACGTTATGTGGAAAGTGTGTTCTGTTTACAATCTTCCAATACAAAGAAAGGAACACAAATTCCAATATTGTTCAAGTAAACCCAGATGAATTAAAAACCATTACATATTAAACATTTGATGCCGAGTTATATGCTCACCACAACAGCAAACCAACAATTACTTGTTTGAGTAAAAGCACATTAGCCACATAAGTCAAACCCCATACATACTGACCAGCGTGTCCCAGAGATAGTCACAAAATCTTTTAGACTCTGTGCCCTTACGCTAGACCTCATAGCTTTCCAAATAAATATAAATCCCTATGGACGCTTAGAAGTGGTTTAAATGAGACCATTACACACATTCCTAGGCTCTGTCATCAACGTGTCTTATTTCCCTTAATATGACACCCCTTCTCCTGGCCCCCATCACCAATCATTCCCTTTTAGTATTGCTGTATTATCTTTTCCCTGTGCAGTCTCTATGTTCCGGATTACTCACTTACCTTGGGGTGGGCCCACACATTGACAAATTATTTAAACACTGTAGGGGAATCCTATTATTTTTAGACTTCCGTCAGGTGACTTGTCATTGTATGACGGGTCGAGGGGTGAAGAAGAAGATAAATACACTTACCCAAAGCTCTTCACCATTGGCACTGCCAATGTCTGAAATATATTGTGTCTCCGAGAAATAATCGCCCACAAAGTTCTGAATTACATGCAAATGTCGACATTAATCAAACACTGAAACTCAGCCATTTAGGTGACGTTGTCTTTGGATGTTTGGCATTGCACTAGAATATTTCCCTATTACTGCTGGTAATTCACAAACGGAGGAAACATACTCGTTTTCCTGGCACTATAGTGCCCTGAGGGTGCCCCCACCCTCAGGGTACCCCTCCTGCCGGGCTGGATGGAGAGGAAGGGGTTAAACTAACTTCTTTCTCCAGCGCCGGGCAGGGAGCTCTCCTCCCTCTTCTCCTCCTCTTCGGCTGAATGCGCATGCGCGGCAGGAGCCGCGCGCGCATTCAGCCAGTCCATAGGAAAGCATTCACAATGCTTTCCTATGGACGCTGGCGTCTTCTCACTGTGATTTTCACAGTGAGAAACGCGGAAGCCCTCTAGCAGCTGTCAATGAGACAGCCACTAGAGGCTGGATTAACCCTAACATAAACATAGCAGTTTCTCTGAAACTGCTATGTTTATAGAAAAAAGGGTTAAATCTAGCTGGACCAGGCACCCAGACCACCTCATTAAGCTGAAGTGGTCTGGGTGCCCATAGTGGTCATTAAGAATCCAGGTGCTGATCATGGCCGGGGTTGGAAAAACCCAGTTAGTAGATAAGCTTGATGAAGGCCTCTGTGTAGGCCAGAACGTTGCACTTTTTGTTCCAATAAACCTGCCTTCCTACAGCAATCCTGAGTGCCTGGACCTAATTTATTTGACCTATTACTGCTGGTGACACCTGACACTCTCCCATTAATCAAACTATTACATAGAATTAAGGGAATGAGTTGGTGAAAGCAGAAACCCCTGGGTTCAGTAACACTATGCATTTATACATGGAAATAATTATTCAACCACAACTGGAGCTCAGTCACTGCATGCAAACCAAAATGGACAAAAATATAAAATCAAATATATTAACATAGACTATAAAACATAAAATGAGTTAGTATAATCAGCTTCATGCAGTACAAGAAATAATCTAGACAGACGGCAAAGTAGTAATTTGTGTTTTTGTTTTATGAGTTCCATGCTATATAATAATAGAACGCTGTGTAATATGCACTAGTTTCAAACACCCCCTTACCCTGTATGTTCAACAGTGCAACTGCTAACACGCTGTGCAGTGATCTCCTTACATTCACAGAGTATATCGTCAGACAGAGTACTGAAGACGCTGTGGTACTCGAGAACTAACAGCTATTCTTGTCTACAATTTACAATTATTTTTAATAATTTCTCTACTACTTTTAGTTTAACAGATACACGCCATACAGTTAGTCCTGCAAGGTTTGGCAGGAAACGTTTGTGAACAACAGAGTGAGATTAAATCCTGAAGATTTCTGTAACATCCAGCCTTGGATAAAAGCAAATGTTATCGTGTTTAATAATAATTAAATAATAAAATATCCTGTCTAGTACATACGCTAACTTGCCAGCAGTCCCAGAGCAGTAATGATTTTGGGTCTGAAATGTTTATCTTGTGCCCTACAGGCGCTTAGTGGGACGCATGTTTAGCCATATTATTATTATTATTTATAAAACGTCAACACATTCCGTAGCGCTGTTTAATAGCCATATTCTAAGCTACAAACATAACTCCAGGTCACTTCCACCCATACATGAGTACTTCATCTAGCTCCCATTTCACAACCAATTATGTGATTTGTATCAGCAGAATGTCCACACTGCCCTCTAATAATCCGACTCCGAGCCTCCTGTTTTCAAGCTGGCGCCTAGCACCTGGGGTTTCAGATATTTAGCATTAAGGTTCCCTTGAAGTTTATTTTGCTGGTGACAGAATCTCTCTGCTATTATGATTGGACTGCCGGCCTACTAACAAGCACTGATTCAGAGCAATTCTCAGTACGATGTGCTATCACCAGAAATCTCCACCATACACAAGGTAACAGTGAACCAGAGTGAGAGGAGGGCTGATTGCTGCTGATACTATAACAATGAAATCTTCCATTTATGTATCACAACGAGGCTTTCCCTGCGAGGGTCCAAGAATATACACATTCTCTATTAACACATGTCCCAGAAGTGTTTGCTCAGACGAATTTTATGACATGCATGGGCCATAGCTACTTGATTTTCTCTGCTCAAGAACCAGAGACAAAGTAGCATGTGCCAAAGTCAGGACTGTGCTGCCAGGCTCAGGACACTAGGGAGGTATGATTTTGTTTTAAAAAAAAAAAAAAATGTGTGCTGGGTGCAACGTGCATGCTTGTCTCTGGGAGCCAGTTTGGCTGCGAAATGACCTGAGAGACAGCGCAAGTGAGAGGAAAATTGCTAACGCTGTAATATTTCATAAAGTAAAGGATTTATTTTCATGATACACTGCAGAGTTTATTTACTAAAATGAGAATTAAAAATTAATTTTAAATTTAAGCTTGCAACACCGGAACTGAACGCATGTCGGACTTAGAGGATATTTGAAATCCATGTTGAATTATCAATTCAGTAAATAAGCCCTCCTGAGCCTCTGCTCTTACAGTTGTACTCTGCTGCCACCTAGTGATCTTTTCTGGTAATATTCATAATATGGCTGATTTGGGAATTATTTATCTATTTAGATCAGTGGTAGTCAACCTTTTTCTACCTACCGCCCACTAATGCATCTTTCTTGATGGAAAAATTTCCTTACCGCCCACCAGTTTTCGCGCAAGCGCGGAATATTTTTTAGAAAGGAGGTTGTTTTAAAAAAAATAAATAAATGTACGTACACTTATCTTTTTATTTCTACTTTATGCATGTTTATAATGTTTTTAACTTTATAAAGTTTAATTAGAAAACAATAAAGTAAATTGAAATTAGCTTTACTAGTGAGATCCTTGAGGCTGATGCTGCGAGACTAAATATTTGATATCTGGTTCGATTTTCGTAAGGAACAAACGAAGGTCTCCTCTTTCGGTGATATTCAGACGGTTTCTCTGTTTGCTCATAATATGATTAACAGCACTAAAGCCTGATTCTACAAGATATGTGGTAGGGAAAGGTATCAATAAATTGAACATCATTTTCCACATATTTGGATATAACGCAGGCATTTTTTTTATTTTGCCAGAGTTTTTGGTATCCACCACTGCCAAAATTACATTTACTCTCTTCGTCATATTTAAGTTCTAATAGTTCTTCTTGGCAAGTTATATCAACTTCAGCAACATTTGCTGTAAAAGGATTTATCATCCAGTCATGCACCTTTAAGTTCAAAATATCTTGAAATCGTTTTTCCATATCCAATTTGAGTTCCTTGAGGTGACTACTGAACCTTTCAATATCCCCCGGACTTACATCATTGTTTATAGAGGACAATTCAGGAAACTGATGAAATTCTCTCTTGAAAATATTATGACGGAGAAGATCAAGCTTTTCGATAAATAATGACACAATATTTTTGCAACTTATAAGAGTTATATTGGCTCCTTGAAGCTGCAAATTAATGTCATTAAATCTCTTGAAAATGTCTGCCAAATAAAAGGCATCATTCTTTACGTTTTTTAACTGTTCATAGAGACCAGTCTCATTATCACTTTCAAAAAACTGTACGACACTATCAAATAATGCAACAAAACGAGTCAAGCATGTACCCTTTGAGAGCCATCGAACTTCTGTATGTAAAAGTAACCTAATAAACTGCTCGTTATTGTCCTGGCACAGCTGTCGAAACATTCTATCACACTTGGCATTAGATTTTATCTTATTTACAGCTTTAATTATAATACTTAATGATGAATGGAGACTTGTACTTAAATGTTTTCCTACAATATGTTGTCTGTGTACAACACAATGAATACACAAAACGCTTGGCACTTCTTCCTTCAAGTAAGCAACAAACCCACGATAGCGGCCTACCATTGATGGTGCTCCGTCAGTAGCACATGCAACAATATTGTTCAAGGGTATATTGTTTTTTGCAAAGTATGATTTCACAGCATTAAATATTGATAATCCTTTTGTATCTGTAATCAGATTGACAGTGAATAGCATTTCTTCTTGCAATGTATTGTTTTCATCAAGGTACCGTACATATGTCATCAGTAGAGCATTATTATCTGCAATGACAGACTCATCCAATTGTATAGAAAATGACGAATTTTGGAGAATACCTATAAGTTTATTTTCAACATTAGCCGCCATTTCATCAATGCGTCTCTTTACTGTGTTATCGCTAAGGGGCAATGTTTTTAAAACTTCAGGTATATCCTGATGCATTACTGTTGAGATAAATTCTTTGATAGAGGGTATTATCAAAGTTTCTCCAATATTATGGCTTTTACCACTTTTTGCAATTAAGTGTGATATACGATAAGCTGCAGTTAATCCATCCTCATTCTTTGCATGTTGTTTTTGAAAGGATGTAGCTATTGTTGAACGATTTTGAAATCTTTTATAGATTTCTTGAAAATATTCAATGGGCTTATCTTTATCTTGCGAATGCTTTGTAGTAAGATGTTCTCGCAATCGACTTGGCTTCATTGCTTCATTAGATAATGTCTTGTGGCACAGTAAACAC